AAACCCCTGCGAGTTTAAATTTGCTCAATGCGACAACGCCAAGCTGTTCCGTCGTGACCAAAGGCACTGTGATGACATACCGGTACGCCCGACGAAGGATGAATGCGCTCGTCATGATGGTACATGTACCCGCGAGTACATCCCCTTGTGCGGCTCGGATGGCAAAACCTACGACAACTTATGCGTCTTTGAACTTGCTCAATGTAAAAATCCCAACCTGACCCTTCAACACCATGGGCAGTGCGTCGCAACATAGTGCTGACCTTGCATCAGAGTTTTTATGGATCGAGATTCGAGGACCAGATAGTAATCGTAATTCAAGAACGCTGGCTCATCATTGGTTTGTGGAGTACAGATACAGCTCGAGGTTCAAAGCCTGGAACGGAGTTACGTTGTCGTTTTAGGCAAAGCATATTGTCCTGATAAACGTTATCCTGATGAAATCTCTTGGATGATAAGTGCCGCGTCTGCTCAACTTTGCCCCTACATCGATGTAGCAACGACGATGCAACCATCAAGTCAGCCACTCACGTCCTGCCTCGAACGAAGGCCGCTTGTGCTGTACTGGGATGCAAGTAGGTTTCCCAATCAATAATGAAAGCAGTGCGATTTTGTAGGCGCTACTTACAAAACTTGCTCAAAACAAGTGTTCGACTTTGTAGTTGTGTCGAATGGATTCTGTTGTGATACTAACGACACTAACTATGCACTGACCCTGGACACGGAGATGCCCGGGCCTCGTTTAAACTTGAACAAGGCGGTCTTGGTGCACGTTTTCACAACTGCGACGGTCTTCGTGACGCTCATCATGGCCGTGTCATTGATTTCCACGAGGAGGTTGCCGATGTGCACGTGCCGCAGCGCGTCGCAGCACAGATCCCGACACACGAGCACGACCATGGGGTACACGCCCTTGGCGAGGCGGCATTCGCGCAGCTGGACGCCGATGCTGCGGTTCTCCTTCCACTTGACCAAGTACTTGGCGCTGTCGGGGGCGTTGGCCTTGGACACGCGCTGGCTCTTGAGGCGACCCCGCACGGCCAGCTTCATGTTGACGCTGTGGCTCCAAGCAGTGATTCCGAAATATTCATTCTGTACTTATTTTTTCGAACTTGAGCAATGCAATATTTACTTTTCCAACAGTGAAGTAGTAAGGGTTACCTATTTTTTTGCGTAGACGAATTCCATTTGATCCCCATGGAAAATCACTCAAGTGTTGATTCAGTGGTCGTGTCGATGACAGCATTGCTAGTAGCGCGTTGACCATGTCTGATGATACGTCCCCTCGCAAAATGGCGATGAAGACTGTACACGTCGGCGCTTGATGCAACGTCCTAACATGAACGTACATGTAGTACCGTCGAATCGGGACTATTGATCGCGGGTAGTAAG